AGAGACCTTCGGGTAGTGTGGGTGGCATATAAGTTAAATAAATAAATAAATAAATAAATAAATAAATAAATAAATAAATAAATAAACTGTATCTGGTTCAAAATGCATCTGCCAGACTGCTGCTTGGAGCCAGTTACAGGGTGCATATAATGTGCCTGTTACAACAACTGCACTGGCTGCCAGTTCATTTTATAGGTACACGAGAGAGGGCCTTCTCTTGGCTGCTTCCAGGTTGTAGAATGCTTGGGAGGTTCAGTTGGACCTTTTCCTTTTCTCTTTCCATCAACAGTTGAAGACTTATCTCTTCTGGCAGGCCTTTAATAACCATAATGGAGACCCTGAATGCTGGTTTTTGGCTAAGTAAGTTTGTTTTAATGTTTTAAATGTATTTTAATTACGATTATAGTTTAATTGTTTTGAATGTGTAATTTACTGCGTGTTAATTTTGTTTGTTTAAACACTGTGAGTGGCCCATGTCCCCTCATGAGGAGAAAAGCAGCCTATGAATTAGGTTGGTTAGTTAATTAATTAAATAATTAAAAGGTTGCAATCTCTCTGAGAAATAATCATCTTAGAACTGCAGAGCTGGAAGAGAACCTATGGATCATCGAACCCAGCTCCTGTCAAGGAAGCATAGTGGGGAATCAAACTCCCAAACCTCAGGTTCGAAAGCCAGAAAACTAAACCAATGAGTTATCCATAAGTGCATAATGATTGTCACGATTTTTCTAGTAAACCTGGAATGAGAAATGTACATGGGGATAATACTGCTGAGAAATATTTAACAATGCATTCAACTCAGAAGTTCAGAATACTAATGAGATAACCTGCTCAAACTATAATCATAGTCCTATGGTTACGATTAAGGAAGTGGGGGCGGGATCTAATTTTGTCATCAGCTAAGTGATCCTAAGACTTCAGGTAGGGATGGTGTTGTTAGTGGAGTTTTAAAATGGAAGCGAGTCTGGTTGGCATCACTTCTCATTGTTAAGCCTTTTTATTCTATTAATTAAGTTACATTTCTCCTGCATGCAAAACAAATGTCATTAGAAAAGTAATAAGAATTAGCTTTTTAATAACAGTTTAATTAAAATCTTTGCTGAATTATATGCCGACAAGAATTTAACATGTTTTTTTAATTGGTTATTTAACCTAATATGTAGCCTCCCCATTAAGGATGGGCCTTTTCAGTTTGAACAAAAACAACAATAACTTTATGAAATAAACTTTTTGTGTGTGTGTTCTTTCACTGATTTCTCCCAAAATTGAGCCTCTAAAACACACACGATTTGCATTGAAGAAAGGGGGTATACTGAAGTTCTGCATTGTTTTCACATTTTCCTTTTTCATTTAATCTTTCTTTCAATTTTTCTTCCAATAGATTTATGAGGGCTTCTGCCAGCTGCCAGTCATAATGTCTGGGCATTGAGAATTTTGAATCTGTAAGATTGTTTAGAAACAGTGTAGAGTGGTCATAGTCTTTGCTTCACAGTCCATCTTTGCAGATGGGATTATTTTGTGCTACTGAGCTCTGCTATGGTGCCCACCATTTTGGATTGTGCTGCTGCTGCCCTTGAGACTCAAGGAAATAGAGAAAGAATCATCTGATGGGGGAGAGAAGTATCCTCATATTGTTGTAGTTCTGATTTGGGAGGTTAGATTTGATCATATTTTTTCCTCTTTCTTGCTTGCTTGTCTTGGTATTTGGCAATGGGAAATCTCTGTGTTTTTCCCCAATATTTTCCCTGTTTTGAGGTAAAGAGGGTCTTACGCTTTGTCTAGTCGGTATCTTTTCTCCTTCTTCATTTAAGTTCACTGCCGGTCTTTTCCTAGGCACAGAGAACAACTGGGTTTCTTTATTTTGCTTCTCGGTTATGTTTTCATTGAATACTGTCACTTTCTCAGTTTACTTGGATAGGTTTCCTTCTTCTGTCATCAAGAAAACATATATCTTTTCCCTCACAGCTACCAGCTCCTTCTCCTCCTCTCCCTCAGATGTTTCTAATGGGTTTAACTGCCTTTGCCTCTTGTGGCTGTCTCGTGTCATCCCTGTCTCCTCCGCACGATCTCCTTTCTCCTCTTCAGCGCGTGCTCCTGTCACTTGATCTTTCCCTTGTTCATTACCTATCTCCCACTCTGATCCTATATCTTCCCTTGCTTGTTCCTTCCCTTCTGTTTGCTTTGCTTTAGATGCATGAGGGGACAGCTCACTCTCTGACTCCTTGGTAGCCACTACCTCACAATGATGTATCATGAGGTGGTGATCCTCAGCCAACCATGTGGCTGAGGATTGTGATGTCCTCACACAGTGGCCCAGATTGGTTGACTTGAATCTGGGCTGCCTTTGAGAGAATAAAAGAGAATGTTTGCAGCCATTCTAGGAGTTTGGGGCCTTCTCCCATCCACCCCTCTTTGTTCATTTAGTGTTATGAGCACACAGAAAAAGGGTGTGTGTGTGTGTTTGTTCTGTCAAAGCTTTGTTTCATTGGAAGCATGAGGACAGATCACGTTGGATGGTCATGTATATGATTGACCGTCCCTCATAGATTCCCTTTAAGAGAATGGGAAAGAGAGACATTGCAGAGCTCAGCTCAGAAAATGCTCTAGGGGTTTTGGAAGGGGGCACACAGTGGTGGACACATTTCCAGTCACCTTGGATACACATCAGTCAACAGACAGGCTGGCTGATGTTGATCTGTCCTCCATGTTACTACCAGTACTTCTGGCCGCTATTACCAATAAAGTTGTGGAGTTTTACTGAACCAGTTTTCAATAATGTGTTCTAACTTATGTGCAAGAAGATATTTTGTATGGATGAGCAGTCAGGTATGTGTTTGTCTATCATGCTCTTAAGCAGACTGAAATGGTCCTTCTCTGTGAAGTTGGCCTCAGAATGAACTAGCATCAGTAAGGAGAAAACTTCTGCATTACCAAAAAAAGATTAATATAGTACATCAACCTAGAATAATACCAAATAGATCTTATAATCATTCTATGCTGAATTTGTAACTGTAATTTAAATAGAAACATAGTGGCCAGAATCTTGTTACTTCTGTACACCGACATAATTGCAATGGCATAAACAACATGAACAATTTGCTGCTATTTAAAGAGTTGCCATTAGTATTTCTTGTTCTGCACCAGTAACTTGCTGCATGATGAGGAACGGAAGCAGCAACTCATTAACTGATGGCAAACTGCTACTGTGATTTACACTGTTGCACTTATGCCAGTGTATATAAGGAACAGGGTTCTGGTCAACATATTACCATAACAGAAAGGAGTGTAATATATGATTAGTGTGCTTGCAGAATCCATTATCTAGATGCTAATAGGATGTAACTACTAAGGAGGTCTTTAGAGTAAAAAGATACTTGGGCTAGAGAGCCCTTCAAATGGAAAATGTTATCAGAAAATTGTTCTCTGATAGCTCTTCAGAGAATTATTCTGAATATAACAGGGTACACAGGCACCCAAAAGGACATATTTATTTAGTTGGATTTGTCCACAATTTCAAAAATAATCTTGTAATGTTAGTATCAACATGACTATGGAAAATATCCTAAGAACTGGGGCCCATTTCTCCAGGAAGAAAAATATAATTTACTTATCCTGCATCAAATCCAAATTTGCACAATTCACACTACTGTATTTCTTAAAATGGAGCTTCTGTGTTTTTTTAACATCACTGTCTTGTTTTGGGAAAATACATGAAAGAGTCGTCCTTCGCTACCTGCAAAGCCATGGATATTGGTCTGATATACAGAAAACTGAATTCTTGCTTGCTAATGATAACAAGGAAATTATACAGCAAACTGTTACATTTGCTTTGCCAGTACCAAAGCAGCATTAAATTTATGTTACTATTAATTGTTCTCTTAATAAATGAATTTGCATTTGATCTATTTATACTGCCTAGATAAATGCATTTATGCTTGATGCAAAATGAAAACCAATTGCAAGACACTAGAATTTTAAAATCATAATCTTGTTTATATTTGGTATTTTTTTTACTTCTGAATTATTTGCTTCTATTGTTATTTGTTACTGCTACATTCCAAGCCTAAACAGCTGAAACGGGAACTGAATAAGGCAACAATGCAATATCCAGCCAACTACACTTGGCAGCAACGTACTGTATTGTCAAAGTTATTTGGAGCCCTACCTTGAAGACAGTAAACTGGATTATTAACATTTTATCATGGCAGCCCAATGATGTTTCAATACCTCTTTTTTAAAGAAAGAAATGTTTATATTTACACAATTGTCCTATATTTAGAATGACAGTTGTGCTTTGCACTCTGTATTTTGCTATAGCCTCTGGCAAAAACAAATACAACTAAATAGAATAGAACTAAATAAGATAGGATATACTGTGGGTCTCCTGTTATCTGGTGTGGTCAAAATTCAGTAAGGATGTCACTCACTGCCCCTCAAGCAGTTCCTAGCTCCAGCAGATCAGCCATGATTAAAATATGATCTCTTATGGGGAAAAGAAATTACTGATTAGTGCAGACTTCTTCCCCATTAACTAGTTTTTCAGGCAGGTCTTCCTCACCTGAGAAGGACCTTTTGATAAAACAAAACTGTTTAAAGCTCCTTTTGATTAATGTGTGTCATTTGATGTCCAACTGTGGTTGGAATCTGACATAAATTTATTTATGTCGGATTCAGCAAGTTATTTAGTTTTATATTATCATTTGTTTGCAAATGGTTATAATTGGTATTGTGCTATCTGTAGTCTACATATGTTGTTTGTTAGCTGCCCAGAGAGTATGTATCACACAAATGAGCAGTATATAGTACATTAAATAAATAAATAAATTTAAGATGGGTAAATAAGTCAGGAGTGAGACAAAGAGAGAGAAGTACTTGACTATTACTAAGAAAAGCAGAAGAGGGTCTAGCCAATAAAGTTTAAGCCACATGCTGTAGGATGAAGTGCTTCAAAGGAATAAGGTAAAAAGATAACATGAGGGAAAGTGGATGTTGGTACTTACCATGCAACTTCCTGTTATATGTTAATTTCTTTCTGTTGCAGTTCCTGCCACAACATATCACACTAGTCATAAACTTTTCCCATAAACTTTTCCTCATTCCCTGTTTTGTATGTCTTATGTATGTTGTTGGGATGTCAGCCACGGCAACAGTTAATTACCTAACCACTCTATGGTTAGGTAAGTGGGATTCAAAAGCCACACCCATGTGTGTATGTTAAGAGACTCCACAGGCAAAGCCACATCACAGCAATCACATCCTCCACACTCTGTGTGTGTATCATGTGCCATGTGATACTCTCACTTCCTTTGTGAGAGGGTGTGTGATATGTCATAATACCTTGCTCCCTTTTATGCTCCCCATCATGCCTTTGTGTCATCATAGCATGAAGGAAGGCATGCTGTGTGCAAAACATAACCATGAAGTCAGAGCCTGGTGTGAAAACTTTGAGCTGTGTGCCCAGGATGAGTTATAGTCTTCATATCAGTTTATCTAAATGTTTTCATGATGGTATACTGTACTTGTAGTAGGAATTTGTTCAGATGAAGGATGAAATGCCGGGATTTAGTTGTGGTGTGTTGAAGACAAGGTTCTGATAGTGGTGTGAGGAAAACAGTTAGACAGATCAGAAGTACAGATAAAGACTGGTTGGGAGGAATGTGTACAGATGGTAGCAACCTACAAAGACACACGTGGAGCACATCTTGACAGCCTGAAACAGAACACACTTATCAGAATTCTGAGACAGTAAGTGGTGGGAAAACAAATGCCCCAAACCAGAAGTGGTACACACTGATGTAGTTCATAATGCCATGTCCTGTCAGTTTAAAACTGTCCTAAAATTACTGTTGTTCAAGCTGGTTCATTGCAAAACATAAGCATACGTTATGTTCTTGCCAAAAGAGAAACTGAAACTCTTCCCAAAGCCAAAGTAATAATTTCATACACACATACCCTGGTCAGCTTTCCCTCAAGGACAAAAAAGGCCTGAGAGAAAAATGAAAATAAAAGTAATCAGGAAAGGTAACGAAGAAAGAATATGGTTTGGTTTCTCTCCGCCGCCTCGGTTTGCCTCTTGTTTTCACTACTTTTCTCTTCACTTTTCTCTTCTTGTAACGAAGAAAGAATATGGTTTGGTTTCAAGAGGGGCTTCATTATGGTATACATTTTGAGTGATTTTGAACTGTATCGAGATGTTTTAATTACTGACAATGTTCAGTGTTGATTATATGTATAACATACTGCCTTTTTTTAAGTTAACATATTCATTTTGTTTGCTTCATCTGCATTATGTCTTTGGGAAGAACACTAGGAAATACAATTAAAAATTAACTGCCCTTTCTTAGTCTGCTGACTTTATTATTTCATTTATGGAGAATAAATTATCTTTCATGTTTGTTTCTTATCAAGGTTTCCTTGTCCTTAATATCTAGTTTACTATGTGAAACAAAGCTTTCTATAATTATGGAAGAATAAGCAGTACTGTGAACACTAATCTATAATCCAAAGTGGTACAACCCAGACAGAAGTTTACAATCAGTAAGAAGTAGGCCTCAATTGTCTCTAAAACCAGCGGAATCTGAATTACAATCCTGCAGCCCTACCGGCTGGACAAAATACTCAAGGGAGATGTTCATTGTCAGCAAATATGTCAGCACCACAGTAGAATGAAAAATAGCACCACATCTTTGGGCATTTTAAGTGATATCCTTCTGTTTACACTATTAGTTCAATCAACATTACTTGGCTTCTTGCTAAAATAATGACAAGAAGAAAACGTTTGTTCAGACTCCCTGTGAAAAGAGGGAAATGATGTTGGGCGTAGAACTGCAGAAAATTATGTTGACTGATAACAAATATAATTAGTTCTGAATTATTTTGGTTGTTATCACAATCATTCCAGGAATGCAAAAGATCTCCCAACACTTCCCCTCCTTCCCTGAACCTCGTTTCATTCTTATCCATGTTCTCTTTTATCTGTTTTATCCATTGCTCTATAAATGCAGAGAACGTGAATGCTATAGTTGCCACCATGTCTCGGGTGCTAGCTGAATTCACCAAGGATTGCTATACTCTTCTGGCTCGCTGGGCAAGAAGAAAAATGTCAGAACAAAGAATGCTGGGGGAGCAGTAGTCTAATTTTTGTGTGAGGTATCTAATGTCTGGACACCCATCTCCATCCATCCCTAGTGCATGTCAGGGTGCACTGGCTGACATTAAAGGACCCACCTTTATGACATCTCATGAAACTTCCTCTGTGACATCACAAGACCTACTAGCTAGTCTCAGCTTTTGGGCCTGAAATTTCAAGAAATGGGGTGCTGCTGATCTGGCAACCCTAATCAACACCATGGTAGTACACTCGGCCAAAAACAAGAGATCGAGACCTGGGGTACTCCGAATGTTATTGAGCTACAATTCTCATCACTTCTGGCAACCAGTCATTGTGACTGGCTCTGGTGGACATTGAAGTCCAATAACATTTGGTGGGCAGACATATGAAATTTTGCTAGTAGTCTTGAACAAAAATCTCCAAATGGCAGGTAGACTGTTCAACAAGATTAAGCCCACAGCTGTGCTAGCCTTGGCCATTTTGAGATTCCTTCCTATTTGAAGGGCATAAATTCAACCTTCAAAGGACTGCAAAGGAAATGGGGCTGAAAACATGGGAAATCCTTATACTGAGGGGAAGAGTAGTTACAGTGGCTATAGTAAGCTGCTTTTTTTCCACCCACCCTTTTTAAAAAAACTTTTTTTAAAAAAAAATATGACTCACTGCAAAGTAAGAGCCACTTTAAAATCCCACTTTCAAATATAACAATTCCTGTAGCATGCATAAGCATAGGTCATAGCCAGTGTTCTTGCTGCCTTGTTTTTCCCACCTAAAACCTCTGTGAAACAATGCTAAGAACACTTCACTACCATCACTTGAGCAGCATTTGTGGTGAGGAGAAACATGGTGACTAGCTCTATTCAAACACAGAAGCCACAATGTTGTTTTAACTTTTGCAAGTTCAAAGAAAAGACACGGTCCCGGTTTACCTGGTGCTCCCGTGTTGTGCCTGGAGCAGCCATCCCAGGGCAGCAGAGACAGGATGGTTGCCTGCTGGGTGGCAAAGTAGCCTTCTTGGGCATTTTGGTGCAAGCACTGAGGGCCCTGGAAGAAGCAGAGCAGGCATAAGCTCTCATCTGACCGACCTTCTCTGTATTTAAGCAGGAACGCCTGGTGATTACAGGCACTTTTTTCCAGACTGCCTGCCCTCCCTCCTGACCTTGTTCTGGACCACCAAATCTTGCATGTACATAATGGAATATAAATTTTCTTAGATATTTTCTGCAACATTTTCCATTGCAAGTTTTATGGAGTGGCTCTGGTTACAGGTATTGATTTGGATCGAGGGACAGGAGCAGAAGATGTGGACCTGACATAAATACCCTGTGTTTAAGCAGTCTCCTTATGGGTAGTGGGGCAAAGACATGGCCAGGTCACTTCAATTGAACCCCATCTGATGTCTCTAGTGGGCCCTAATGATATTTATTTATTTATTTATTTATTTATTTATTTATTTATTTATTTATTTATTTATTTATTTATTTATTTATTTATTTATTTATTTATATCCCGCCCATCTAATCAATAGACTTCTCTGGGCGGCATATAACATATAAAATAAAACAATTTAAAATATAACAATGATATAAGACATCATAATCAAACTGATTGAAGATGGAAAAGGTGAAAAGAGTAAATCAAGTAGTGGTTGGAGGGAAGGCCTGACTAAACAGCTAGGTTTTCAATTGGCTTTTAAAGATGCCCAGCGAAGGGGTCAACACCAGGTTGACATCTGAATCTCCCAGTGGTCTGGATCCTTTGCCAGTGCCATGCCAGTACATGGCTGCTGTAACAAAGTTAAAATCTCATTCCTTTTCAAACTTTGTGTAACAGTTTGTGTTTGCTTGTGGCCCAGAGGCAGCTTAGTTTTAGGTGCACAAAAATGTGACTCTGCTACTGGAACAAGCAATGTTTTTAAAGCTCGAGAAAGGAAACTACCTTCCTGTGACCTCAGTAAACACCTTCTCCTCCATGAAATGATTGGCCTCATTTTAATATATCCCTCCCTGAAATAACCCCGACTCTAATTTGCCACCCTCAAATGAGATGATAAATTTGGGGTGTGTGTGTCGTATTTTGATCTGTGCTTAATCTAGCACACCAATGTTGCAACATAACTGATTGTCATTTAGCATACTATTGTAGACTAAATATCCCACAGATGAATTATGTCAATAACTGCCTTGACTCATCCAGCTCATCTATCAAGCATTTTCCACATGCTCCAGGATCCAGCTAGGTCTCAGGCTATTCATTAGGCATCCTTCAGTCTCAAAGGACTATGGTAACGTACTCTGTATGGAGGACTTGGAACAGCGTCTAGTGTGGCTGAGGAGGCCAATTCGAGAGTGACAATCCCTTCCACACTGAAAACAAATCCAATCTGTCCCCTGTCCAGCTCCCTGATTTTGATGGTTTTGTGACTTCCTCTTTGCCTTGGCCTGCTGGACAAGGGTCTCTTCAATTTGGGAGAGGCCATGATGCAACACCTGCCTCCAGGCTGAACGCTCAGATGTCAGGGTTTCCCATCTGTTGAGGTCCATTCCTAAGGCCTGCAGATCCCACTTGCAGATGTCCTTGTATCGCAGCTGTGGTCTCCCTCTGAGGCGATTTCCCTGCACTATTTCTCCATACAGGAGATCCTTTGGAATCCAACCATCAGCCATTCTCACAACATGCCCAAGCCAATGTAGATGTCACTGTTTCAGTAATGTATATATGCTAAAAATTCCAGCTCATTCTAGGACTACTCTATTTGGAACTTTGTGCTGCAAGGTGATACCAAAAATGCGTTGGAGCCAACACATATGGAAGGTGTTCAGCTTCCTTTCCTGCCATGCACAAAGGGTCCAGGACTCACTGCAGTACAGGAGTGTGCTCAGGACACAGGCTCTATAGACCTGGATTTTGGTATATGTCGTCGGCTTCTTATTGAGCCATATTCTCTTTGT